TTTTTTTCTAGTTAAGAAAATTTAATTGCTCGACTCACTTTATCATGTAAAATGTATTACTATCGCTCGATATCATCGCCAAAGGTTTTTCATGGAAATAATTAGGCCATTCTGATTTTCTCTTTAATTTATTGAGGTGAACTAACCTTTATTTCATAATTTTATCTGCAGCTTTGACTGAGCCAATTGATATGTAAGTGAATGAATTGTCAAAATATTCACTTTTCATCCTTACTAGATACTTTTCTTTGAAGTTTTCATTTTTCCTTGGCTACAGATACAGTGAATGGATTGACGAATGCGAACGTGTCAATAATGTGGAAGACGACGACTCTTAGAGAGTGGCTGAAGGCTTATTGCTTGTTTTAAAAGCTTCATATATTGTGTCATGCTTCCATATTTGAACCAAGCTAGATTTAAGTGTGACATTACATATCTTGAACAAAGCAAATAGTGTTTGTAAATATCATGAAAAAGGATGCAGTTGAATAAGAGAATGTGCTTGAGAAAAGTAATATGTGCTTGTTATTTTGTTGTAGTTTGACATGAATGGTGCTTCTTAGCTTACATACATGAAAAAAAAAAAAAAAAAATGTGCTGTGAGTTCAAATTTGGAGCATGCATTAGTGATGACTGTTGAATATGTGCATAGATAAAACAAGCAAAATGGGTGAGTGTACATTCATTAATATTTTTCTGTAAAAAGAATTTAAGGAAACAAATTACATAGAATCATATCCATAGAGTTTGAGTGCTATTGTAAAAAAAATTGACTTTTTATGGTATAACCCGGCTGGTTGATATAATCTACCTTTTATACAATATATAAATTACTTCGTATTTAATTCCTTTTCATGTTAATTTATTATTGTACATTAATGTCTAGTACTAGTAGGTATAATTGGTGTACAAAAGAGCTATGTCTGACTCGTACGGCCTTAATCTGTGTTTCGATATGTTCGTAGACCTGTAAAATGGGCCGCGAGGATTTTTCGGCGTTAGCACTCCGACGGTCGAGCCAGTCCACGGTGGTGAAGACGATGAACAGTAGATGTAAAGCTTGTAGGTCTAGATGTGTAGAGAATGTAGAGTGTAAATGAACATACCTCACCACTTTATATATGGGTGTTGCATTGTTGCTCAAGACTCACGAAGGGACTGTCCAAACTGCCCTAACTACCCGTTCGTACTGCCCGAACTGCTGAATTCTGTTACGCCACATGACCCTATCCACATGTGGTTCTTATCTTAATAATATTTTTTTTTTCTTATCTTTTAGTCTTTCGTATTAGATGGTCTAACCATACGACCAGCTCGACCTCTCATGATGTAGATCGTCTTATCGGCTAGGCTCATGTACCATGTCCAAGTTCGATCATTCGACCAGCGTACTTTCAGGTCGAGTTTCTATCAGGTCATCCGAGGGCCATAGCTCCACTTGTCACCAACACCTCTTCATGCGGTGTCCCCGTCGACATGAAGACTCCTGTCAACCTTTAGCCTGGTTGACCAACCTATTCACCTGATCCGGTTAGCTGGTTTCTCAAGTCCAGTAGACCCGATATGGTATCACATATCAATAATATATATAATAATAAAAATTAATTTTTTTTTATTCTAAATTTTGTAATACTTATTAAAAGTCGCATTTTTATGTTTATTTAGACTCATTGGTCCTATATTACAATAATTTTTCTAGCACATAGCACATATCATATACCATGCTTAATAGATTAATTTATTTAGCATGTAATTTGACATGATAAATTATTTTATAATCTTACAACACAGAAACAAATAATAGTTCGAATTAACATGCACTCTGAACACCATAATCGACCACATAAAGTTACGAAACATCCAAATTAAACACACAAAATTATGAATCGTTATAAGTTAAAAGATATTTACACTTGGAAAATTATTTATTTAGATATGAGAGGTAATGTATATATATGAGAGAAGTACTAATGTACACTTGTGTATCTAATTCCATACAAAATTGATGATAAATTGACAATTGAGACAATAATTACTACACTTTACATGTAATTCCTTATGAAAATTGATAAATTGACCCTATTATGTGCATATTATCCACATCCATGAGGACCATGACATAACATTTGACAAATTATTGCACAAATGCCACCTAATATTTTATTAAAAAAATATAACAAAATAAAAAGTCAAATAAAATAAAATAAAATAAAAAATCACAAAACAATCTAATTTCACACACTCACACTGCAATATCCAACCCCAGATTTTGGCTAATTTGACAAATTGACTCGCAAGTTGCAGCTATATATAAATAAAGCCCCATCCGCGGTACTTACTAAAGAGCCCCCCCTTTTCTTTTGACTTTTTGACTTTTTCTCTCATCTTTAGAGCACGTTTGGTTCGGAGGATGAGATTTGAGAATTTTTATCTCGGTACTAAGGATTGCACTGTTCATATTATAATAGTCCATTGTTTGTTTCACTAGATAGGAGTGTTGGATAAAGTTATATTAATTCCCAACCTACATTTGTTTGACATGATAAGATTATAGATTACCTTGCTTATTGACTAAATTGCCCCTCATAATGTGATATATAATCTAATCGTGCATCGATTTTCAGTCGATACACTCCAGAATCCCAAAATCGAAGACGAAACCCTAGATTGGATTTTTTCTTCAAAGATCTCTCATCCCTCGCGCTCGAAGATGCAACATAACGATGACTGATCAAATATTTGAGGTAATTGTTTATCTTTCACTTGTCACTACATGGTAATCGATATTATACTATGTTACTGCTGCAAATTTCTTCATCACCTGTTGTGTTGTGTTGTGTTGCGGTTTGTATTCTTCATCACCTGTTGTGTTGTGTTGTGCTGCAAAAAACAAAGTGTTGTGGTTTGTATTCTTGTCTTTAGTGAAAACTTTGTTGAGTTGTTGTAATACTGTTTTTTGTAGGATCCTTCTCTGCACCTTATGAATATATTGTTCTGGGTTGTTATGCCATCTGTGTAAGTTATTTCAATTTTATGGAGCAATGAGTTATTCGTATGGGAGTTCGGCTTTTGAGGATACAGTTGTGCATAACATGGATGTCAGTTGTAATTGTGGTGACAAATTGCATTTGAAAACTTCTTGGACTGCAAGGAATCCGGGAAGGAGATATTGGGCATGCCCTAAATACGGGGTAATTCGGTATTCATAGAAAATTGTATTTTTGTTATTTCATGGAAGTTTATAGATTTACTTCAAAACTATCTAATACCTCTACCAACAAATGTACAGAGTGCTGGCTATTGTGGTATTTTCATTTGGTATGATCCAGAAATGTGTGAAAGATCAAAATCAATTATACCGGGTTTGTTGAACAAAATGAATAAGTACCGACATGAACTTGAGCAATTGAACATTAGAGAAAGGGAAGGGGCGATACGATTGGAGGTGGCTATGAGAAAAGTCGAAGATATGGAGAAGGAGCTAAGAGTTTCGAAGAAGTCTGCCAATACATTGTGGAACGTTGTTATATGCCTTTCAGCAATGTTGTTCATGTTTATTTTATGTTTCAAGTAGATTTTTACCTCCATAATTGTTGTTAGGGGGAGGAAATGCAATGACGATGTTGAAGTTATGTAACGTAACAATGTTGGTGTCCATGGAACTTCCCGCTTGTTTGTAACATAACTGCGCCATATTTAGTTTAATGAACTTTTGCAGACTAAGTTATTTTTACATGTTTTCCAACCATATGATTAATACTACATATTTAAGTAGCCATGTACATAACCATGAAGAATTTCCCCATCTATGTTCATGAATGAACAGTACAACAGGATATACTAACATACCAAATCAAGGAAGAAGCAGTATGGATCATCAGATGAAGAAAAAAAAAAAGACAAATAAGTAAGTAGGTTTATAGAATAGTGTGTAGAGTTATTGCATTTTTTGTGGGTTGAGAAGTAAAAATCATTAGTTTCCATTTATTATGTGACATGATATTTACCAAACCGTTTCAGATTGTATTTAAGTAACTTCTTCCCTTATTATGAATTAGGCTATTTCATTCTCAATTCACAAACCTCCTCAACTCACCATTCTTTCTCCTTTCTCTGTATTCAGGTAGTAGCCACAGTGTACGCCTTGTATGTCGATTGTATTCATCCACGGCCCTCCTGAAGCTCTCCGTTTTTTTCATTATCTCATTATCTAACTTTTTTCTTCTCTTACCAGGACCACAAGAAGATGGATAGGGTCTCACGTGTTGAACAGATTGAGGCGCGCTATAGGGGAACGGGGTGGACAAAACACGAAGAGACCGTTTTCCTCCGTTTGTTTTTTCGTACATGTCATGTTACCCCCGACATCCACAGGACCCATGTCTTCAATTCTCTGTGGAATGGTCTCGCACGTGAAATATCGGTACTCTTTCAAAAAGATTTTACCTTAGTCATGGTCCGAGCAAAAGTCCATCGCCTTAGAAGGATGTACCGTGACTATTTAATGTACCTGACTATTCCCGGAGTGATGTGTCATGAAGATGGTACCCTTGTTAGTGTGGATAAGTCGTACTGGGAATACGTTGGAGAGGTAATGCATGCGGTTTATTATCATTTCCATTTTCGCATATGATCTTTTTCTTCATTAAACATATGGATCCTCCTCTAAACAATTGTTAGGAAACTGACCATGAGGTGTTTTTCCGGTGGAATGGATTTCGTTGGTACAATGCATGCGTCGAGGTGTTCGACGAACGCGAGGCGGCAGAGATAGAGATGGATGGAGGTCCCGGTAGAACGAATGAGGATCCCATTCATCTGGACGACATCGACACTGATGAGAGTACCGACGATGAGGACATGGAAAACTTTCCCGTTGAAGAAGCAGATGAACCGGTCGAAGATCCACCGGCCGAAGCTGAGGAAATGGACATGGATAGCGATGTCCAGTCGTGCGTCGACTCAGAGTCGTAAAAACCAAAATTATACTACTTTTTGGGACGTTATGACCACTACTTTTGAGGTTTGCTTTGGTATGTGGTTTGTTAGTAAAATATTACTATCTGCCCCCGTATGGTCATGAACATGGTCCGTTTTGTTGCTCTGTTTTGTGGCTTTATGTCTGTTTTGTTGCTCTCTTTTGTGGCTTTATGTCCCTGGGCTTGCTCTCTTTTGCTAATATTGTATGGTATGATTATCTCATGGAATGCCGTGGTGCTTCGTATTTTTGTAACCTTGATGCCGCTTTATTATTTGTGATGTTAAGGGAAGTGTTTGAAATGAATTTGCTTGGGGACATGTTTTAGACGCACAACATCACATTTCAATTCAAACTTGAAATACAATGGTAATCGAAATAAATCATCAAATAATAACCAAATCACTTTAAATACAAACAACATCACATTTCAATTCAAACTCCCTCACATACAAACATCAACAGATACTTCGTCAGTGAACAATAAATAACTTCGTAGTACATAGTCAATAAGCATCAGCCCTTAAGCACAATTCAGAAAGCCAAAATACCCAAGTGTCAACAGAACTTAAAAATTGCCAACATGATAACACGAGTCTATAATATTAATAAGTATATATCGGCAATTGGTTCAATCAACAAAAGAAAGCGACTCCATGAGCTTACCACATTACATGTCGCGTAAAATCTGATGAACCATAGTGACCTTAGCATCGTAATCGAGAGTAAAGAAGAGATCTAGCTCAACATTGTTTTTGCATAAATACCGAGCGACCGCGACAGTTTGCCCGGTAGTTAATTCAGGAATTTGTTTTATCGCCTCATACACTGACTGACGTTGCTCCTTTGCAGCTTGTTCGATCCCGGGTCCTGTAACCATTTCAGTAAGACGTTTGTTGGCGTTATCACATAAGGAAGACAACATACCCACAATTTCATCCTCCACATGTTGGACTACACGTTGTCTTTTCATTACGCGTTTTCGCTTGCTTGAAGCACTAATCTCATCTTCTTGTGCCGACGAAGACTCCACTCCGTTTTCATGTAGAGGATCAAACGAATAAGTGGGTATGTCGTTTGGTGTAGCAGGGGCCGGCATTGTGTCTGTATTCTTGTCTAGTAACACATCATTTACCGCATCCGTGAAGCTCTTTGCTCCCTCACCGGTCGCTCTATCTTTTCCAAATATTTCAACCCAATCACCGTATAAGGGCCAAGACTTCAAACGCATTGTTCTAACCTTTGGATTAACCTATTATCCACAACAACTGTCATTGGTTAGCATTTAAAAATTTTATGAGAACCAACTCATGACCAATGAACAATTATAAAGAGTGCGGCTCATACCTTTACGTATGCATCCCAATCGGCATCCTTGACGTCCAACATACACCCAGTCTCAGTCCAACCAAATCCAGATGTAGACATCATACCGGCAATTAAACCGTAATTTTTTTTCCAAACACTAATCTTTGAAGATATATGAGGTTCGGCTTTAATGTCGGAACCTGGGAAGTGTGAGTGCATATATTTTTCCAACATGTGAGTGTAGCCATTTCGGAAACCATTGTCACATTTGAAACCGCGAGTTATGAGGTCCTTAATTCCATCAACTAATACACGTTCTTCCTCCGTTGACCATACTCGGCGATTTTTTTTGGAAGCTGCATTAATACCACTTGACTCCATTGCACAACTGGTATTACAACTTTCATAAAAAGGTTAGTAGCGTTTAACACAACCCAAAGTAAAGCATTTGTTTGTTTACAGCCAAACCAAGTGTCAGAAATATTATTATGCAGAATATTATTTTCGTACAAATGATGAAAATAGATAGGAAATATATAGCATGCAATGAAACATAGTCAACAACCAAAACAGTTTACATCTCAGTACAAGCAAATGAATGTAATCAACGATTGCCTTCCCATTCATTAAACATAGACATCGCCAAGGAATCACGCCAATTTGTCCATTCTTGACTTGGATCTATAACACCTACAAACTCATTAGGATCAGGAGGACCATCATTGCGGTCAGTCACATAAGAATCTCCTTCAAAATCCATCGGGTCGACTGTCATGGATGCACGAATGTAATTTTGAAGCAGGCAACATGCAAGTATGATATCATTCTGCGTGGATATACTGAAAAATGTCTTGCTCCTAAGGACACCCCATCTCATCTTCAAAACGCCAAATGATCGCTCTATCATATTGCGTGCCCTAGCGTGTCTTAAGTTGAACAATTCTCGATAATTTCTAGGAGCCCGATTACCATCACCAAATTCATCTAAATGATATCTCACGCCTCTATAAGGAGCAAGAAATCCTGGCCCATTTGTGTAACCACCATCACAGAGGTAATAATTTCCTGTAGTTACAAATATTTAAAAAAATTTAGTTTATAACCTATAATGTCTATTTTGAAGATTACTATAATTGTTTCTAGATATTTACCTACAGGTACACGCAACCCCCCAGCTCTGTTAACCGCATCCCGTAGGACACGACCGTCAGCCGCAGACCCTTCCCAACCAGTTAGTACAAACGAGTAATTCATTTCACGATTGCATACACCAAGGACATTTACAGAAACAAAACCTTTTCGATTTCGATAACGAGGGTGTAGGTGAGAAGGGACACGCACAGGTATATAAGTGCCATCAAGTGCACCTAAACATCCCTGTACATAATTTGGCATATAAATATAACCATGCATTTAATTAAATGAAAAAAAAAAATGGAATATGTTTACATATTCTTATTTTGTCACCTTGAACCATTTCCACCTCCAGTCGGTACACGAGTCATCTACAGGATTTGGTTGTACAAGTAGAATCGGGTAGAGTCGTAGAACAGAGTGAAGTACATTATGGAATAATTTGCTAATTGTTTGTCCAGACCTTCTGAAATCAAATTTTACGACAACGTTTTTTTTATGGTGGGCTAATACACTCAAAAAAATTGCAACTTGTTCACTTATCTGAACATTTTTGGTGTTTTTTAGACCACCAACGTGTTCCAACAAGTAGCATAACCTACCAAAGGCATTACGATCCATGCGAAGTTGTTGAACACATATGTCATCACTAACATCTATTAACCTACTCATGTGCTCTATCTGGCTAGGCAGTCTATCTGCCATTCGGTAAGTTAGACGATGAGGACGAACCCTACTTCTACAGCGACGCTGAACAACCAATTTTAGGTAAATGTAAGCAATCAAGAAAACAATCTTCAATAGATTCATAATTTCTTCGACGATCATTACTCTCCTTGCTCGTTGGGTTTCGTTGTTCATCCTTACTTCTGTAATCTAAACATTAGTTCGTCAATTAATACAATGGATGCGATGAGAATTATTGGGTCATACCAAAAAAAGGTAATCAAGAACAGTTAAAGCAATGTGATTTCACAATTAACAATAAACAAATACAAAAACAAAGCAAAAACAAAAATTAAATAGCATAAAAACAAATACAAACATTCTGCGTGCATTTTGAATTCTTATATATGCCGACAACTTTGAAAGGGAGAAGATTAATTACCAACTGTGGAGCTGAAAAATACTGATGTGCAATCCTTGATACTAGATAAAGCTGCACAAAGATGGTTACGGGATTTAGTACAAGCAACAAACTAATGAAACTGATAAAATAGTTATGCTACAGAAATATTCATTATCATTTTGTCACAAATGTTTTGCAAATGAAGTGTACATATTAAATAAATGCTTTGTCACAAATGTTTTGTCACAAATAATAAATGCTTCTTTTCAGGACTATCACCATTCTAAAACAGAACTATCACCTTCTACAGAAATATTCATTATCATTTTGTCACAAATGTTTTGTCACAAATAGTTATGCCACAAATGTTTTGCAAATGAAGAATTGTGATAATGAATACAAAAATCTCAACCAAAAATTGACATCGCATAGGCGGAACACAAATGAACTCCTTTTTAGGGTTAGGGTTAAAACGACGCAGTAGTTATCAACACGAAATCTGGAATCCCTTTCAAGAAAAAAAAATTAACACAAACCAACGATGTAAAAAATGGCGGAGAAATCCGATGTGTCGCTAGTATAGGCGACCTTACCACAATCTATCTGCTATGGTATGTAAACGAAAGTACTCCCATTACCTTCTGCACGCATCCATGAACAAAGATCTAACAAACAAAATCACCGAGGAACCTAAAGATAAAACCGATTCGTGTCGAGGAGGAGAAGATTTACCTCTGTTCTTCCCGATGGAGCTGCGCTGCTTTTTTGAATTTTTGTGATATGCTAATGAGAGAGATGAGTGGGATATAGATCTGAAATTCGAATCATGTATTGCTTTTTACAGGGTATGTTGGTAATTTAATCTTTTGTGTTCCTGTTCAGATTATTTGAATCCTGGGGTTGAGAGGAGATTAATTTATCCCCCATATGCAAGATAAAGACATTTTAATCGCGGGCTTCAAATAAAATCTCGGGCTCCTAACCCATGAAACAAACGCATGATAAACTCGGGATTAAAGAGCTAATCCTACCTTATCCGCCCAACCAAACGTGCT